GTGTTGCGTGACAGTTCTATTTCCATTCCTCAGATAGATTTAGAGCTACTTTGGTTACTTCTCCAGGGCACTACACTGTGCCTAGTGTGTGCCAGAAACTCAACCTAACTGCAGAGACAGATACCCTGAGCAACCCAGATTTAGGGAGAAATTGCAGGAGAGCATCACTAAATAATGGAATCCAAATGTTGAATAAAACAAATGCCCTATAAAATAAGCTACACTGAATTTATTGTTGGGGATTTCTAGAGTTTTTGACTTTGAATACAATACATTAAATTCTTAAAATCATCATATTTTAAGAGCAATGTTTAGCAGTTACAGAATCTTTTTATTTCAGTGAATGAAAATTTACAGAGGGTGGGGGAATTTTTATGCATTTCATAAGCCAAAATATCCTGTTATTCATTCCTATCTAAAAACACAAAGAGCAACCTGTCAAATTCTACTTTTTTATCTTTCAGATGAAATTCCCCTCTACATTTTCCAAGAAAATATACTAGTATGCTACTCACTAATAAGGAAACCTTTCACTGACTTTCATTTTAATATTCATATTGCTTGGTAACAGTCAACATTCATTATAGTATTTCTTAATGTTTTTTGGCTGCACAGATATATTTATTATTTTAAAAATTATGCAGCTGAAAAACTTTTGGATACCTTCTGCTTATAATCATCTTTATAGAAATAGTTACTTTGTTCCAAATGATAGTGCCTGAGGGGCACATCTATAAACGAGATCCTTTTGGTAATAACTGATGCACTAGGACGGTACAGCAAAAATATTAGGTCTCATGCTGTGCACTTTAGATTACCTGCTGTGAAACTGCAGGCATTCTATAGGGCAGCGCATCATGTCTTCCTAAGCTTGATATACGGTAAGTGTTGATCCTGAAACAAATTACTTTTTTTTTCAGAACACTGTCAGACTATGGACAAATGCTTTAAGAAAGGAGAGGGAGCTGCCACTCAGGAATACACATTGGCAATAGAAATGTGACATGTGCATGCTCCTGTAACAATCCAAGTTAGACAAATCACTCTAATTCTAATCCTGAATGAAATAGAGTTAAAGTTTCAATGGTTTTGCCACACTATCATTATTAAATCAAGCAACTATAACAGTAATAGTGTAACACTTTGTATCAGTTTAATTGATACTGATTCTGTTGTTACATCTGTCTATACCCCTCCCCCCCCTCCAGACTGTCACCTATCACATGGAAAAACTGTGAGAGTGCATTTTGCCTTAAACTGACTTGTCGGTCGGTGAGGTTTGCCCTCTGTCCCCTTCATCCCTGCATTCCATTAAAATGGAATCTGCTGCACAGACACCAGTGACCATTTGCTCAAAGGCCTTATCTTCCCACACCTATTCTAATCCCAAGCATAAACTTTCTCACAGCACAGCTGCATTGAACTGAGCATAGCAACTCAGGCTACATAATGATAAAAACACTTAGTTTGAACATCAGGTAGGATTATTTTTCCTGGACAAGTTTCAATATTTGAGGCTGGAGTGGGGCTAATATGCATGCACCACCTCCAGCTCGCAGCTTGCTAGAGTATGCCTCCACTGTGATGATGGTCACTGTCACACACAAGCTAAAGTTCCACCAAGAGGGTGGGCTCTCATGTACCTTCAGACTGATTGACTATCCTGTCTTTGATTTTCTCTTTGGTGTGAACCAATGGGAATCAAGGGACTTGCAAGAAAATGGAAGCAGTCTGCTCAGTGTTACCTCTGCCTAAGGTTCTTGACTCCTGATTTTGCCCCCAACTGAAACTTACTTTTGATATACTGAGCCAGTAACTATGACACTGGTTTTGTATCTTGCCTGATAATCAGCCTTGACACTCATGGAGATGGGATCATTCAGAGAGATCTCAATGGGATCCATGAAGGGAGACAGCATTCTGGAAATGACTAAGTCCCCACACTGGAGGGGGGAAGGGGAAAGAGGAGCCCAGGGATCACAAATTAACCCCTCACCAGCTACCAGTTGGACTTCTTTAATTTAAGGCTAGGTATAATAGTCTTAAATTAAAGAAGCCCTTCTTTAATGTAAGACTAGGTACAATAGAGATAGCAATGGTTTTACATTTTCTTTTCTTTTTTTAAATGATGACATCAGTAATTAAGAGTACTAGTATTTCCAATTAAATGTTTTCTCATGCTTGTGAAAGTACTGTCCCTAAAGATTATTTGACAAATAATCATACCCTGTCAACACCATATATTATATGACTGTTTGCAAGATTCATTGTAGGTATTTTAGTGTAATTTTTAGCTTCTGTTTTTAAAAAATACCTAACCCTTCTTTCTTTCTTTGCTGTAGAGCTGGCTGCAGATCAACAACATTAAAAAAACCCAGGAAAGCCCCAAACATACTGAGACAAGTATCTCTTAAATCTTCTTCGTTATAATAATCAAAGGTGTTGTAGGCTGGTCTGACATGCATGCATTCCTTTATATGTATTTCAATCTCTTTAAACAGACAGTGCAAACAAAATTATTAACTGAGGTCCAGATTTGGCAATGTTTCACCTTTTTTTTTACTGAGAGCCAGATTCTGATACTACTCAGTGCAAGTTCATCATTGAGCTAAATCATGGGTTGGCTTGCACATCATAGGATGCAGTTAGTACAAGACGGGAAATAAGGGAGTTAAGTTCCCCTCTCTGAATGAAGGGGAGAGGAAGAAAGCAGGGACATTTTGTTCTGCCATACACCAGTGCATTCAGCAGTTCAGGAGAGCCTGCATATCATGGAGCATAAAGTATTCTAGAGCTAGTGCCTGGATGTTTACTTTCCTTTTGAAGTGACAGAGGAAAGAAGGTGACAATGATTTGAAGACTGGTTCAGGGGCAGCACTTTTTGCTCAGGGCAGATTATAGTTAGGTAGTGATCCTCTGTAAGTAGCACTGTTGACTCATGGAAGAAGGCAATATGCTCATTGTGAATATGGGTGTCAGAATTTTGCCCTATGTACTTTTGTGACAATGTCCTACCAACCCACTCAGAGATAGCTTTTAATATACTAAACAAAACTATTTGAAAATATTTTTCATGAGCAAATACCATGCTGACTCACAATAATAGGTTTTATTGCTTAGTAATATGGTTATTTCCTTTTCCATGGAAGGGGAGGGAGGGGTTGTGAAATGGCTGTTCTATCCCCTTTACAAAGTACCTTATTATAATACAGTTTCTTGTATAAGGCGATTATATACTTTTGTTCATACTACACAAAACTGGACTATTCATAGCATTGCTGTGAAAGCATCTTTTTCAGAACATTTTATTAGTTTTAATATTCAAATTGGATATCAAGCCACTAAGGAAGTAAAAAGGGTGCAATGGAGAACGTAACAAATGCTTGGAGCCGTGCTATATGTTTGAGTCTAAATATGGATGTCCCCAAAATGTGGGAGCAGGTTATTTACAATAATTCAAGCACTCCTTTACATAGGTCCAGCATGTTTAATGTTTGCAAGGGTGTCAGTGCCTTTTTACAAAAGTCCCTGTCAGATTCAAACTCTGTTATTAGAGATTTTCATATATGGAGCGGCACAGTGGTCAGCAGAGCAAACATCTACATCATGTATCTATGACTTACCTACACATTGATTTATATTTTTTAAATATATTAACAAATAATATTAAGCAGAGGCTTAGTCAAAGATTTATAAAAATATACATGTCAGGACCCACTGGAAAACTGGAAAAAAATTGATGTCTCTGATCCTCCCCTTCCTTATACCACAATGCATATAACACTTCCCTTCAGCTCATCCCCTTCTCTAAAAATCTGGGGAAAGTGCCCTTGCATCCTGAAGTCTGACTCTTTAAAATTCTATAAACCTAGGCTGTACTGTTATATATAGATGAAAAATACTCTGCAGAGCCTGGAGTCACCCTTCTTCCCCTCTTTGCTTTTCTCACCTTGTCTGAAAAAGGGAGTAAGTTACTTCACCCTCCCTATGGAGTACCAAGCAACTCCTGTTCTCTTCTGTCTCTACTGCAAGGCCGAGAACTGTGAAGTTGGGGGCATGGAAGGGGGAAAGTTTCATTTTCCTTTGCTCTCTTGTGTAGCTGAGTACAGATTCTGTCAGTCTAGACTAAAGGTATAAGAGCACTTGGGTTGTTTGTTTGGTGCGTATTTGGTTGATTCTTTTTTGTGTCTGTGAATGATACAAAATTTAATTTAAATTATGTAATTCATACACATATGTCTGCACTTTACAGCTAACTAAAACAATAATCAAATTATACCCATCCACCACATATCAAGATAAAAGAATAGTCTTAAAACTGGTTTCAGTTCTCCTAACCACTGGACAATTCCATAGGCTAGAAACACCAGAAACAAAACTGTCTCCAGGAGCTTTCAGCTGAACAGTAAAATAGACAATAATTCTGCTTAAAGGATCATAAGTATCTGATCTCAAAGTTTTGTGGGTGTTGGTTATAGCCGTGTTGGTCTAAGGACATAGATAGACAAGGTTCTTTGGGTAAATGTGATATCTTTTATTAGACCAACTAAACAGTTGGAAAAAATGTTCCTTGCAAGCTTTTGGGCGCAAACACCCTTCTTCAGGCATAGGGAGAGTCTGCTGTCATTTTGGGTGCTCTCCTCAGTGGAATAAAAACCAATATGCAAAATGCAGGTCTGTGACAATGCAAATGCTTGGCAGTGAGAATCAGAGGTGATGGGAGACAATAGGTGTGAGACAGGTAGGTGGGGGCAGGGGAAAGCGGTAAATGTTGACCTGATGATAGACTATATCTGGTAAAATGCAGACAGGTTACCTGGGCTTATAAGATGGCAAGCATGTTATAATGTGCCATAAATCCAATGTCTATATTTAGTCCATTATTCTTTGTGGACTAATATCCCACACCAGGATGGTATCTAAGCCTGCCTTACATATCTACAAGAGCAAGATTACAGCTCAGACCTAATGATATTACTGAACTTATACACTTCATACTCACACATAACAGCTTAACTTTCAATAACCAACACATCCTATGGCCAAGGCATACTGAATAGATTCAGACCATGCTGGGACAAGAAATGTAAAACCTGCCAACACATCTCCACCACTCCCACAATAACTACACCCCACGACAAAACCATCACCATTCCTGGATCTTATACTCGGACCTCCAAAAATGGAATATATCTCATCCAGTGCACTAAATCCATGATGGAAAATATGTAGGAGAAAATTTCATAGACATTAGGCATTAGACATCTAATTTCATAGACATTAGGGCTGGAAGGGACCTCGGAAGATCATCGAGTTCAGCCCCCTGCCCCAGGGGCATGAAGTCAGCAGGGATCATAGGATCCCAGCAAGATAAACATCCAGATGTCTCTTGAAGGTGTTCACCTCCGGCAGCAGTCTATTCCAAACCTTGGGGGCTTGGACAGTAAAGAAGTTCTTCCATATGTCCAGCCTGAAATAGTCATGGAGGAGTTTGTGACCATTCAAATTTGGCATCCCTTGGGGTGCTCTGGCGAGCAGATGTTCCCCCAGATCCTGGTAAGCACCCCTTATAAACCTATAGGTGGCCACCAAATCACCCCTGAGCCTGCACTTTTCCAGGCTGAAGAGTCCCATGGCTGTCAGCCTGTCTTCATAAGGTTTGTTTTCCTGAACTCTGACCATGCACGTGGCTCTCCTCTGCACCCTATCAAGCTTCTCCACATCCTTTTTGAATTGTGGAGCCCAAAACTGTATACAGTACTCCAGCTGCGGCCTCACCAACACCGAGTACAACAGGAGAATGACATCCTGGGATTTGCTTGAGAAGCATCTGTGGATTCAAGCCAGTGTTTGGCTTGCTTTACTACCAGCAATACCACACTGAAGATTTATATTCATCTTGTGATCAGTCATGACCCCCCAACGTCCCTTTCGTCCGTAGTGCTAGCCAGCTTAGCACTGCCTAGCCTATTAGCCTGCTGCAGGTTTTTCTTCCCAAGGTGGAGAACCTTGCATTTTTTGGTATTAAACACCATCAGGTTCTCATCCACCCATGTCCTGAGTCTGTCAAGGTCATCCTGGATCACCCTCCTGTCCTCAGGTGTGGACGCTCCCTGTCCCATAATGGGCAGGGGTGTCCCATGGACTGGTGAAAGACTGATGCACAGTACCCACTTAGCACGTTGGCTTTGTTCTGGGCGTCAGTTGTCAGTTGTCCCATCTGATTTAGCAGGGGTCCAAAGTTGCCCTTGCTTTTCCTCCAGCTCCCCTCCAGGAAGCACCTGCCCAGCCCTGGGGGCCTGCCCAAGGCATCTGGGGGTGGCAGGGCCTGGAAGGTGCCTGCCCCCGGGCTCCAGGGCCAAAAGGAGAGCCCCCGCATGCAGTGGATGGAGCAGCCTCCGAGTTCACCCAGAAGCCTGGGGCCTGCAGCTCCCTCCCAGAGCCTCTGGGAAGGGACTGGCCAGCTCCAGAGGCCTGCCCAAGACTGCTGGGGGCAGCAGGGCCCAGCAGGCACCTGCCCCCGGGCTCTGGGGTAAATGTGAATGCTGAGCATGGAGTGGATGGAGCAGCCTCCGAGTTTACCCTGAAGCCTGGGGCCTGCAGCTCCCTCCGAGAGCCTCTGGGAAGGGACTGGCCAGCTCCAGAGGCCTGCCCAAGACTGCTGGGGGCAGCAGGGCCCAGCAGGCACCTGCCCCCGGGCTCTGGGGTAAATGTGAATGCTGAGCATGGAGTGGATGGAGCAGCCTCCAAGTCTATGTGCAAGCCTGCGGCCTGCAGCTCCCTCCTGGAGCCTCTGGGAAGGGCCCAGCCAGCCCGGCAGGGCTGCCTGAGGCGTCTGGGGGTGGCAGGGCCTGGCAGGCACCTGCCCCTGGGCTCCGAGGCCCACGGGAGCTCCTCCGCATGGAGGGGATGGATAGAGGTGCCAGGCCACCCAGAAGCCTGCAGCCTGCAGCTCCCCCCCGGAGCTTGTGGTGGCCCTCCAAAAAGGGCCTGTACATCCCCAGGGGCCTGCCCAAGGTGCCTTGGGGCCTCAGGGCCTGGCAGGTGCCTGCCCCTGGGCACCAGGGAAGGCTGCTGTGTGGAGCCTCTCCCGATGCCAGACTTGGGCCCACCGGTGCTTCTCCTGGGAGCAGGGCCCTCCAGGTAGCAGAATGGTTGGGGAGAGGCAGGGGGGCAGCAGGCTGGGGTCTGAAGTCAATGTTGGGCAGGGGGAACCAGGGAAGAGTGGGGGGGGTGAAAGATGGAGGCTTAAGCCTGGGCAGGGAGGCACTTTTTGGAGGCTTAAGGCCCTGGTGGTTGTGGGGGTGCTGTGTGCGTTACTGCCTGATGTAAGAGAAAAAGGCAATACAATCATAAAAAGCAAATGACCCTTGAAAAAGCAAATGATCTTTTTCTTTCCCCTAAAATTAAAAGATCGCCTCTTGCTGACAGTAAGTGACGTGTACTTCTCGCTGACAGTAATGTGTAACGCCAAAACCAGTCTCAACCAGCCCAAGCTTGCTCTGTACCGTGTTTTGTAATTTTGTAACGGCAAGAGAAGAAACCCGAATGCGTGCGCAACAATGTAGCAAAGCAATGCTTAATGTATAAATACCAAGCTGTAAACTCAGTTTGTGGGGAACTCTGTCTTTGTGACACTGGGTAGCCCCCCTCTGCAGAGAAATAAATCATCTTGCTGACACCCCCTCGTTCTCTGTGCTAAATTGATCGCAGCTAGGAATGAGCCAAAAGACAGGACGTGGCCAGTGCTCTTCGGTGTATGAGCACACCCTTCAGCGTATGGGTGCTACACAGTAGCTGGTCAACCTTTTTTCCCTTACAAATTGGCAACCCAGATGGGACACTAGCTCTCCGGACCGGTGCCACCGCCCCATGACAACGTCCATCCAGCAAATGAGGGTAAGTTTCCCCTCAGTGTCCTTGTCAAGGGAGCGGGCGGCCCCGAGTCGGAGGTAAGGTGATCTCAAACTTAAAAGGGTAGGAGTGTCGGCTATATGCCCTGAGTACGGTGATTCTCAGGCACCAAATTGATTGTTTGTTTTAGGGTGTGTCAGTCTGAGTACGGTGATTCTCAGGCTCCTTTTTATCTGTGTCTCTGTTTGTCTGTGTGTCAGTCTTAGGCCTGTCTTCTCCCGGTTCCTCATTCTGGTGACACAGGCAACCATAGAGTGTTGTCCGTCCGACCCTTTTGGGCCAGAAAAGCTGTGTGGCGCAATTTTTGTCTCCATTCACGCACTCAGGAACTGATCTCTAATCTTATCTTGTCTCTTTGATAAGTCCCCTTTCCTGTTTGGGGGCACTGGTCAGGTCTGTGGTTTGTAAGTCGGCTCTGGTATTCTGGTATTCTGGTTTAAAGGCAAAGAGGTACCCTGCCAAGGGAGACACGATGGGACAGATGGAGTCAGTCTCTGTCCCACCAGGAAGTCCCCTTGGAATTGTCCTTTCTGGTTGGGCTAAAATCCCGGGAACTGGTCAGGTTAAAAAGCTTAAATTGATCCAGCTATCTACAACTGTCTAGCCTGGATACACTTACGAGGATCCAAGCTAACAGTAGCCCAGTCTTTGTTCTTTTGACCGAGAAACCCTGAGGTACCTCAGAGGATTTCTGGCAGATCCTCACCCCCGTCAGATGGATTACTGGTATGTCTGGGCAAACGCTGCATGCAAGTTAGAAAAAGGTTGCTTGAATTCCTCTAAAAAGGAAACCCGACACCTGGCTCCACTCCAGGTTGATCCTAAAAGCCCCTCTGAAACTCTGCCACCTCCATATGCTGCAACTGCCCCTAAGTCAGAGGAAGATGAGTGGTGTCCAGCAAGACCGCCACCACTCCCGGCGCCAGTCACACCCCTGACCCCCGCATCCACCGCTTCAAGTAAACGTTCCTCCGACAATGAAACAGGAAGTTCTTCCCCTGTGTTGACACATACGGAGTCAAAAAGAAAAAAGAGCAAACTGGACCAAAGTCCAGGCTATTAAACAAGGACCAAATGAACACCCGAGTGATTACTGTCAAAAACTCCTAAGCACTATGAATAGACACGGTGGTGATTTCGACCCCAGCAGCCTTGCCAATCAAATGATAGTCAATTCTGCATTTGTTGGTCAAGCAACTAATGATATAAAAAATATATCACTAAGCACCACTCTGATTGAACCACCAAAACGCTTCCCCAGCTAGTCGATCTGGCTTCCTACATCTTTGACCGATGCCCTGAGGTCCAGAAGCAAGAAAAATTAAAACTGAAGCAAAAGGAAGTGAATATGTTAGTAACTGCCCTTACTCAACACTTCCAAGCACCCCCCCCGGCAAGACTACGGCCGAGGCCGAGGGAGAAGATAGAAACAAGACAGACCCCGTACTTGGTCTTCCCAACCCTTCAAGCAACCAACAAGGGGGCCTCAATCAGATGATACCTGCAATTATTGCAAACAAAGAGGGCACTGGAAATGAGATTGCCCGGTCCACCCATGAGGGACCCCTACACCATTTAACGCTCCCCGCACGCCTGCCCCACCCGAAGTTGACAACTACCAGCAGTACCTGGAGGAGTCACCTGAACCTGAGGATTAACATAAGGGGGGGCTCTTCCACGAGATGAACCTTGGGAATTTTAATGAAACTTCACACAAATTAGAATGTCCATCCTCTGAACGATATATTAACCTAGAAGTCCAGGGTCAGATATACAAATGTTTAATTGATACTGGCGCAGATCTTTCTTCACTGGGTGTCTCCCCAAGTCAGGCCAAATTAAGGATAGCAAAAACTGAACAGGTGGTGGGAGTCTCAGGAAAGCCCTTTAGCGTCCCTTATAGTGTTCGTACAAAAGTCACCATTGGACCCTTAACAACTGAGCATGCCTTCTTACTCTCAAGTGGATCACCCGTTAACTTATTGGGAAGAGATCTGCTCTGCAAGCTCCATACCACCTTGCAGTGTAGCCCAAACGGAATCCAAATTACTGTCCCCAGTACTAACCTCTTGGCCTTTCAGGCCATGCTTAATGAGTCTGAGTGTCCTGCCCTCCCTGAAGATCTCCAAACTTTGCCCGAATCACTGTGGGAATGGACCCCCACAGCAGTAGGGCTCCTTAAATCTGCTACCCCAGTCAGTATCCAAACAAAGCCAGGTCAACCTCCCTCAGTACCCCAGTATCCCCTGTCCAAAAAAAACAGATGAAGGACAGCCACACCATGATTGCTGTAAATTAGTTGAGTATGTGGAAAAACCCTGGAGTAACCTTAAAGATCAACCCTTGCATAACCCAGACTATGTTCTCTTCACCGACGGATCGTCCTCAGTCATCAAAGGCACAAGACATGCAGGGTACGCAGTAACCACAGTGCAATGGGTTTGGGAAGCCAAGCTTCTTGCACCAGGTACCAGTGCCCAAGCTGCAGAACTGATTGCCTTACAGAGAGCATGTGAGCTAATCACAAACTGTTCAGTAACCATCTATACTGACTCTTGATATGCATTTGGTATTTGTCATGCAACCGGCCAACTGTGGAAGCAACGAGGATTTCTCACCTCGAATGGACACTCAATTGCTAATGCCACAGAAGTCAACAATCTTCTAAACGCTATCCTGTTACCCAAAGAAATCTCAGTTGTCCACTGTCCAGGGCACTCCAAGGACAGTACTGAGATTGCTGCCGGGAACCATATGGCTGATGCAGCCGCAAAGGCAGTGGCCATTCAACCCGTTTCTGACAACTCTAACTCTCGCCTCGTGTGCATCACATTATCCAGCCTAACCTCCATATACCAGCACATTCAACCGACAGAAGTCCAGGACTGGAAGACCAAATATGAAGGCACTGAAGGAACAGATGGCATCTGGCGAGTACCTGACGGGCGTCTCATCGCCCCCAGAGCTGTTCTTCGCACGCTTGCCCAAGGAGCCCATCGTCTAAACCACTCTGGTAAAGAAAATCTAGCGCGCAGTGTTCTCCGTGACTGGTTCGTGCCTGGCATTTATGTGGAAGCCGCCAGGATTGTCAATTCCTGCCCTGCATGCCAAGCATTTAATCACAAGACAAAAAAAAATATTCATAAAGGGGGGAGGCCATGGGCCTATCTACCATTTCAAAGACTCCAGGTTGATCATATAAACTTACCAAAGGCCTTCCACTATAAGCATTGTTTAGTGGTAATCGACCAGCTCACCGGATGGCCAGAAGCTTTCCCTGCTTCGCGAGCAGATGCCTCGACTGTAGTCAAAGCCCTCCTTAGAGACATTGTACCAAGATTCGGACTTCCTGAAGTTATTGAATCAGATCGAGGCTCACACTTTACTGAAAGGATATTGCAAGAGGTGTATAAAGCCTTAGGAATTCAAGCACAGTTTCATACCCCTTACCACCCACAATCCTCGGGTCAGGTAGAAAGGTTAAACCTATCCCTGAAAACCCTTTTAGGAAAGATTTGTGCCGAAACCAAATTAAAATGGCCTGAAGCCTTGCCCATTGTGTTGTTTGCTCTTAGAACTAAGCCACGCAAACCTCTAAATCTGTCACCCTATGAGTTATTGTTTGGTCATCCCGCACCTTTGTACAAAGACTGACAAAGTCCACATGTAAGCCTGTTTAAGAAAAATGAAAAATTAACTGATTATGTCTTGTCATTACAGCATTCTCTCAGTTCTCTTCACAGGTCTGCAGCGTTGGTACAACCGGTACCCCTTGACACCAACCTCCATCCGTACTGACCCGGCGATTGGGTGTGGATTAAAAAGCATCGATGACAGAACTGTTTGGCACCACAGTGGGAAGGTCCCTTTCAAGTCCTGCTGACAACTCACACTGCAGTTAGTCACCGAGAAAGAATCCTGGATCCACCATAACCACTTGAAACCCAAAGAAAAGCCAGCATTGCCAGCACCACCAGATAAACAAGCTGTAGCCACTAACGTTAACAGAGCAGCCTTAGCCAGCAATAACTGGTTTAGCAGACTAGCTAGTTCATTTAGATGAACTATTAGTAACTGACTAAACTCTCTTTTAACCCCCATGCTTTCTTTGCTTGCCATGCTCGTTATAGGATGTATGTGTGCATCTTGTATTATCGCTTATGTAAAAAGGCTGTTTGCACGCGCAATGCAGAACAAGTATGTCATGTACGCTCAAGAATAGCAAACTTTGATATCAGCCACTGAGCTAGAGCTCAAGGTTGAAAGGGGGGAATTGTAAGAGAAAAAGGCAATACGATCATAAAAAGCAGATGACCCTTGAAAAAGCAAATGATCTTTTTCTTTCCCCTAAAATTAAAAGATCGCCTCTTGCTGACAGTAAGTGACGTGTACTTCTCGCTGACAGTAATGTGTAAAGGCAAAACCAGTCTCAACCAGCCCAAGCTTGCTCTGTACCGTGTTTTGTAATTTTGTAACGGCAAGAGAAGAAACCCGAATGCGTGCGCAACAATGTAGCAAAGCAATGCTTAATGTATAAATACCAAGCTGTAAACTCAGTTTGTGGGGAACTCTGTCTTTGTGACACTGGGTAGCCCCCCTCTGCAGAGAAATAAATCATCTTGCTGACACCCCCTCGTTGCTAGCTAAATTGATCGCAGCTAGGAACGAGCCCAAAGAGGGGACATGGCCAGTGCTCTTCGGTGTATGAGCACACCCTTCGGTGTATGGGTGCTACACAGTAGCTGGTCAACCTTTTTTTGTTACACTGACTGCACCCTGGGTACTTGATTGGGAGTGGAACCACAGGCAGCAGGAATTCCAGGCACCAGGTCAACCCCATGCATTCCTATGGGGCTTTGAGACACCAAGTCAACCCCAAGCATTCCTATGGGGACTTGTCAGAGAACAAGTCTACCCCATTCATTGCTATGGGGACTCCCAGACACCAGGTCTACCCTGTTTTGAAGCACAGGGGTGACTTTTGGGACACCAGGTCAACCCCAGCGATGCCTTTGGGAGGGAGAGGCTGGCGAGTTGGAGAGGAGCTCCCTGTCTCAGAACCTCCCCACCCACTGGCCCTCTGCACAGCTGAGCCACCCACGAGGTGCCAGGTCAACCCAGGCCCAGGGGAGAGGGAAGGGGAGAATGGCCAGACCCTCCGTTTATGAGGGTCCCCTGCCTGCCTCTCCCCCGCTCTCTCCAGCTTCCGGGGGGGCTCTGCCCCCCGCAGACATGGTGGTGCCCTCCCCCCCCCGCTCCCGGAGGTGGCGTTCAGGTTGGGAATTTGCGCTCGGGAGACAAAAGCTTGTGTCAAGGGCTGACTTTCAATAGATGGCAGCAAGGTAACTCCTCTGCTACATATTAAACCCTGACCCAGAATCAGGTTGTCTACAAATGATTTAGCACCAGATTCCCCATGAACATGCAGTGCACTGCGGGTGAAAGGCAACTCCCTTCTGACCACTCTCCAATCCTGCCACAAATGGCTCTCCACACTGTGGCCTGCCCCCCAGGCAGGGGCCAGCCAGCTATCCGGGATTAACTGAGGCTCCACGGTGCTATAGTATCATTATATTTAGGGGAGATTCTGACTTAGAGGTGTTCAGTCATAATCCCACAGATGGTAGCTTCGCCCCATTGGCTTCTCAGCCAAGCACATACACTAAATGTCTGAACCTGCGGTTCCTCTCAGACTGAGAAGGATTACTATTGCAACAACACATCATCAGTAGAGTAAAACTAACCTGTCTCATGACAGTCTAAACCCAGCTCACGTTTCCTATTAGTGGGTGAACAATCCAGAGCTTGGTGAATTCTGCTTCACAATGATAGGAAGAGCTGACATCGAAGGATAAAAAGTGACATCGCTATGAACGCTTGGCCGCCACAAGACAGTTATCCCTGTGGTAACTTTTCTGACACCTCCTGCTTAGAACCCCCAAAAGTCAGAAGGATTGTGAGGCCCCGCTTTCACGGTCTGTAATCATACTGAAAATCAAGATCAAGTGAGCTTTTGCCCTTCTGCTCCAGGGGAGATTTCTGATCTCCCTGAACTCACCTTAGGAAACCTGTTACAGTTTGACAGGTGTACCACCCCAGTCAAACTCCCCACCTGACACTGTCCCTGGAGTGGGTCATGCCCAGCACGTGCCGGGCGCTTGGAGCCAGAAGCGAGCCCCCGCCTCACTGGGTATGTGAAAAAATGATAAGAGTAGTGGTATTTCACTGGCGGCCCGGGGGCCTCCCACTTATTCTACACCTTTCATGTCTCTTCACAGTGCCAGACTAGAGTCAAGCTCAACAGGGTCTTCTGCCCCACTGATTCTGCCAAGCCCGTTCCCTTGGCTATGGTTTCATTAGATAGTAGGTAGTGACAGTGGGAATCTTGTTCATCCATTCATGCGCATCACTAATTAGATGATGAGGCATTTGGCTCTTTACCAAACCCTGAAGAGTACATTTTTTGGATCATTTAGTGCTGTTCGGTTAAGTGGCTCAGCATGCCCTATGCAACACAGTCATGACTGTAGCGACCACTGAAGAGTCCGGTGGTCTCGTGATGACTGACATGCACCAGCAATCTGTCACGTGGGCCTGAGCCCTGATCAGAAGCATGGGAGGTAATCATATCGAGACTGAACCACTTGAGAGAAATGCAGCGAAGAGGGGGAGACAGCAAGGTGGATCACAAATGCAGGATAGCAGAACAAAGCACAGACATGGGTGGGTAAGAGGTTGGGATGAATTCTGCTGCCCAAAGGGAGCAATAGGGTATGTCAAATGAGGCAGCATCACTCCAAGTCTGGAAGTAGCCAGAAACACTCTCGTCAAGTGCTTCTCTTCAGTCTGTTCTGTCCCGATCACAGGATGTCATCCCTCCTGGAACAGTACACATGCCTCATGCCTTCGGGAATGGGTAGTCACAGGCTTCAGTGGGCATGCAGCCAGGATGTTGCACCCGACTGACTAACCGTCAAGTTTGGCTTGCACCGGTCACTGAGGCTCCCCTCTATCAGCACAAGATGGGGGTGGCCAGAAATCATCCATTATTCCAGGCTGCCATTCCAGGAAGTGGGGCGAGCCCCCCTTGCCTGATCATCAGTTCAGGTTGGCTTTATGCTCAGCAGAACTGGAGGTGAGTAGTCCTGATCCTCACCCCCCACCTTTCCGGGCATGCAGCCGGGATGTTGCACCCAACTGACTAACCTTCAAGTTCCATTTGCACAGGTCACCGAGACTCCCCTCTATCAGCACAAGGCATGGGGACAGAAGTCTTCCACCCTCCAGGCCACCGCCCCAAGAAGAGGGGCTATCTCCCTTGCCTGGTTGTCAATTCCAGTATGTTTCACCCACCCCACCTGCCAGACAACTGCTGTCTGGACAGTGCAGGCACCAACAATTTTCAGCAAGATTTCTCTAGCACCCACCATCAGGCTTTGTGTTTTTCACAGTTGAGGCAGTTACCCCCCAGGAGCTTGTGAGGCAGCTGGTGGGGATTCAAGTGTCCCTGGGAAAAACTCCCTGGCTGCACTGTACCAGGGTTGAATTATCAACAGACTGAGGCCTTCGATACCCAGCGAGAACCACATGGAGGTACCTGGCACAAACCTGTTGCAACCGTGTAACAAGACCATTTCCCCTAGGGAAGGCGCCTCCCTTAAGAGAGTCATATTAAGAGAGTCATAGTTACTCCCACCGTTTACCCGCGCTTCATTGAATTTCTTCACTTTGACATTCAGAGCACTGGGCAGAAGTCACATTGCGTCAACACCCACCGCAGGCCTTCGCGATGCTTTGTTTGAATTAAACAGTCAGATTCCCCTGGTCTGCACCGGTTCTAAGTCAGCTGCTAGGTGCCGGCCGAGCTGGAATGCCGCCCCCCACCCTGTCCCCGTGGAAAAGGAGAGGCAGGTGACGCCCACTGCAGCTGAGGCGATCCACAGGAAGGGCCCGGATCGCATCCAGAGTTGCCACCACCCCCCCCAGGAAGGGGAGTAGGCGCCTCATCCAGCCACAGCTCACGCCCAGCTCTACTTTGTGCCCCAGCCCAACCAACCCAGCCCTTAGAGCCAATCCTTATCCCAAAGTTATGGATCCGGCTTGCTGACTTCCCTTACCTACATTGTTCTAACATGCCAGAGGCTGTTCACCTTGGAGACCTGCTGTGGATATGGGTACAGCCCAGTGCGAGATTTACACCTTCTCCCCCAGATTTTCAAGGACCAGTGAGAGCTCACCAGATGCTGCTGGAACCGTGATGCTTTTCAAGGCTCGGTTCCCTCTCTCGGGGCAAACCCATTCCAAGGCACCCTGCCTTTCACAAAGAAAAGAGAACTCTCCCTGGGGCTCCCGCCGGCTTCTCCAGGATCAGTTGCATTACTGCACTGGATGCCTTATGGCACCACCACTCTGTATTCAGGGATCTGAACATGACTCCCTTTCGATCGGCTGAGGGCAACGGAAGACATTGCCCATCCCTTCGGAATGGCGCTCACCTATCTCTTAGGACCGACTAACCTATGTTCACCTGCTGTTCACATGGAACCCTTCTCCACTTTGGCCTTCAAAGTTCTCGTTTGAATATTTGCTACTACCATCAAGATCTGCACCTGCGGCGGTTCCACCCGGGCCCGCGCCCTAGGCTTCAAGGCCCACCACAGAGGCCCTCCTATTCATCGCAGCCTAGCCCCCGCGGCTCTCATTGCCGGCGACAGCCGGGTATGGGCCCGACACTCTAGCACCATCCATTTGCAGGGCTAGCTGATTTGGCAGGTGAGTTGTTACACACTCCTTAGCAGATTCCAACTTCCATGGCCACCGTCCTGCTGTCTATGTCAACCAACACCTGTTCTGGGGTCTGACAAGCGTCAGCATTGAGCGCCTTAACCTGGCGTTCAGTTCATCCTGCAGCACCAGTTCTGCTTGCCAGAAGTGGCCCACTAGGCACTCGCATTCCACACCAGGCTCCACGCCAGTGAGCCAGGCTTCTTACCCATTTAAAGTTTGAGAATGGATGGAGATCGTTTTGGACCCAAGAACTCTAATCATTCGCTTTACCAAATAAAACTGCAGAGATGGATGAGTGCCAGCTATCCTGAGGGAACCAGCTACTAGATGATTCAATTAGTCTTTCACCCCTATACCCAGGTCAGATGACCGATTTGCATGTCAGTACTGCTATGGACCTCCACCAGAGTTTCCTCTGGCTTCGCCCTGCCCAGGCATAGTTCACCATCTTTCAGGTCCTAGCACGTATGCTCATGCTCCGCCTCCCTGACGGGGTGGGCGAGACAGGTCAGTGGTGCGCCCTCTGCAAACAGTGGCCTTAGGATCCCACCTCAGCTGGTGTTCACCGGCCCTCATCTTCATTGCACCATGGGCTTTCGTTCAAGCCTCTGACTTATGCACGTTAGACTCCTTGGTCCGTGTTTCAAGATGGGTTGGGTGGGTAGCCAACATCGCTGCAGACCCCAAGTGCCCAGCATGGCCCTCCCCACCCAGCATCGCGACACGGCCGGGGCACACTGAGAACATTCCGCCCTGGTTGAAAGTCGCACCGGGGTGAGGGGGCCCCCACCATGAGGAGGAGGGGACGGGGGGCCACGGGGGAAGGTGTGGCGACAGTCATCTCCCTTGACCCTGGGATGCAGCAAGAGCTGCTGCCTGGGGCCTGTAACACTCACCGCCACAAAGCGGTGAGCCACCTGCCTGCCAGGCCTTCCCAGCCAACCCAGAGCCAGTCATGGTGCATTGCCACGGTGGAGATGCGCCCAACAAGGACCGAGGCCATCCAGGCGGTGGTCCCCCACTGCCCTGGGGAGGGGGCAGTGAGGGGGATCCGTCGTCCCAGGCTGGCTGACCAAGCCCATCAGGTTGACTCCTTCGGGCAGACTGCACAGATCCCACCCATTTACCTCTTAACAGTTTCACACCCTCTTGAACTCTATCTTCAAAGTTCTTTCAAACTTTCCCTTACAGTACTTGTTGACTATCAGTCTTGTGCTAGTATTTAGCCTTAGATAGAGTTTACCACCTGCTTTGGGCTGCATTGCCAAGCAACCCAACTGTGAGAAGACCCACTCCCAGAGCACCAGGGGCCACTACTGGCCTCACACCATCCACGGGCTATGCCTTGATCAGAAGGACTTGGGCCTCCCGAGAGCAGCACCGGGGAGTGGGTCTTCTGTACGCCACCACATTTCCTACACACCACCGCAGGATGGGGATTCGGCACTGGGCTCTTCCCTGTTCACTCACCATTACTGAGGGAATCCTGGTTAGTTTCTTTTCCTCCACTGAGTAATATGCTTAAATTCAGCAGGTCACCAAGTCTGATCTGAGGTCGCAGTTGGATGGGAGGGTGCAGGCGTGGGAGAAGTTTGTGAGGTGAGATGGCCAAGAAAGCCGGTACTGAACAGGGCCGGCCTGGCCTCTCGGCGTGCTGTGCACGCATGCAGTCCTACCCACCACAGCCATGGGAGACTGCGCTGTCCCCAAAGGAGGCCTGACGGAAGGGAGCTGGGGAGAACGGCCCTGAGGGAGGAGCAGCCACGCACGGCACCCCCTGGCATGAAGGCTGGGGATGCATGGGGTAGGAGGGGCCCGGCAAAGGGAAGGCAGCAGAGGTAGTGAGGAGAGAACAGTCCCGGTCTCCGGGCAGGCAGAGGCACAGGCAAAGGCCCCAGCTGCCCGCGCCTGCCTGCTGCCTGCCTGCTGCACTCACCCCCACACCAGCTGAGTGTGTGAACCCCACCGTGTGCTCCCTTCCTTGCTGCTTCCCTTCCTGAGGCCCCCGCGCACCCGCAAGCACATGTTGTTCTTAGGGGGTAGGATTGCGGGCCCGAGACAGCCACACGGGGTGGGCCTGGATCCCCCTGGAACCCTGGCAGCGGGTGCCATGGCCGACCCAGCTGAAGCGTGGGTCAGACTGCTGCAACAGTCCTCTATGAGCAGGTTGAGCTCCCCAGTGCAGGCACTCTGAGGCATCGTGTCTGACCTTAGGGGGACGAAGGCATTCAGGGGCTCAGGCTGCCCCTCTTCCCCAAAGAGGGCAAGCAGAGGCAGGCCCAAGGGACCTCGGGTTGCCTGGGAGACACCCTAGCTGCACCCAGTGGCAGCGGGGACCAGACAGCCAGCACCACTGGCCTCACACACCTCATGGGTGATTGACCTTCAAGCGATGCTCAGACAGGCATAGCCCTGGGAGGAACCCAGGGCCGCAAGTGCATTCGAAGTGTCAATGATCAATGTGTCCTGCAATTCACATTAATTATTGCAGCTAGCTGCATTCTTCATCAACGCACCAGCCAAGTGATCCACCACTAAGAGTTGTCACTTTTTTTGCACAGGCTTTTTTCCACGGTTGCCACCTCGCCCTATGGCAGAAGCCAAGCCAGAGGGACAGGGGGCTTCTGGGTCTGCACGAGGTCAGGATGGGGTCCCCGAGCTGGTCTTCCTCCCCCGCTGCAGCAACCTGGCAGGGATCATGGGAGAGGAGGCATTCCTGCCCAGCTGGTTGCCTGCCTTCCCTTGGCAGGAGTCCTACAGACCAGGCAAACACAGGAGAGAAGTTTAACAACCTGAGAGAGGGCCATGGCTGCAAAGGTGAGCTGCCTGCCGCAGAGTCAGTCCAGGTGCTCAGCTCAGGGGGGCACAGCCAGCCGTGCTGCAGGCTCTGGCAGCTCCACAGCACTCCTGTGGCCGCGCCTGGGACTGTGCACCTCTTCCGCTCCCCTTGACCGGCCCTCGCCCCACCCAGGGGTGCAGCAGGGGTGATGGCGATAGGCAGGGAGGTTTGGAGGGATGGGCTGAGCAACAGGATGACGGTGGCAAGGGAGCCACAGCCCACAAGCAATTGGCTTTCAGGCCCCTCTGCAGAGAGGGAGGTAGGGTGACCCCTCTCCATCCCAGAGACCATGTGGGCAGGGAGTGCCAAAGGCACAGGCACATCTGCACATGCCCACCCTCCCTCAGCAGACCTCCTGTGGCTGCCCGCGCAGACCCCTCAGGACACACAAATCTTTGAACCTTT